TATTACTGAGGACTGTGTAAGACACCATGTCAGTGATTGTGGCTTCCAGTACCAAGAACTATTACAGAGGACTGTGTGGGACACACCATGTCAGTGATTGTGGCTTCCAAAACCAAGAACCATTACTTAGGACTGTGTGGGACACACCATGTCAGTCATTGTGGCTTCCAATACCAAGAACTATTAATGAGGACTGTTTGAGACACACCATAACAGTGATTGTGGCTTCCAGTACAAAGAACTATTACTGAGGACTGTGTGCGACAAACCATGTCAGTGATTGTGGCTTCCAGTACCAAGAACTATTAGTGAGGACTGTGTGGGACACACCACGTCAGTCATTGTAGCTTCCAGTGCCCAGGACCATTATTGAGTACTGTGTGGGACACACCATGTCAGTGATGAGAGGCACACCTAACTGACCCGGATATAAATAAAACCTATAACCTTACCTCAACAGTGCGTACTGTGTAAATCTTTTTCAGATTAGCTTCATACTGAGCTGCAGTAGCACCACGCACAGACCTGAAAGAACAAATTGATTTGTGTTATTTTATATTGAGGAAATCAATGTAAACTGCTATAATTTGGTGTGGGGTTGGGGTCGTTAACTTTTTCACTACTAGACTTTCTCGCTCACATTTTTCTGCACTTTTTTCTTTTATTTTTTTTGAATATTTCAGGAAATGAACCCTTATATTAGAGCCAACAGACAAAATTTGTGTCAATTTTTAGTTTTTACTTAAAATATTTGGCTATTGTTGTCCCGATCTTCTGTAGGAAAGTGCAGATTAAAAATAGAACTATTTTGTATATTATGCACTCTGTGAGAAAAAGTAAAATATGACCCTTTCAAGTATAAGAATCATTGACATCCTTTCAAAACTTTCACAGAAATTATTATTATACTCAGACATAAAATGCAGTTTCTTCTAACTAATATTATGCTTGCAGTTGTATGAGCCTGTATTCAAACTGATGTTGCCTACATATATGCTGGCTTGTTTTATGCATAAACCCTGAATGAAGTTCTAGCTGTTATGCATTATAGAACATAAACATGTTTATTGCCTTTGGCTAATGCCAAACAATAAAGTAATACACCATCGTCTGATGGAAAATGCGCTAAATTAAAACCCAGTAAATATGTAAAATTTAGCCTAGAACACATTATCTAAATGATAAAACCGTGAATTTAAAACCCACTGAATATGCCTGAAATGGTAAATCAGTGAAATTTAAACCCAGTGAAAATTAGTCATTTTACAGTATTGCGAAATGGAGATGTTAGTGCTAAATCACCCAGACTGGTCGCAATTTCTGTGGTGAAAGCACAGTATGTACGGTAGTGTGTTTTCATACTAGTTTTTATGTTAATGAGCAGAATGACAAGCAAGAACGTTATCCAATCAGAATAATTTGACCTTTAAACTACCCTATTTATTCGGGTATAAGCCCAGGGTCCTGAATATGGAAAATTGCCAAAAAGAAGGGGTGGGCGTTTGCCAGGAGATCCCCGGCAAAAAAAAACCGAGAATTTGCAAAAATTGACAACACGCAGATTGAACTGCGGCAGGGAATAGAACGGCAAATGAAAACATGCAACAACGGAAATAAATGAACAATATGCAACATCAGAAGTAAAACAAAATTAATGTATTGCTTATAATGTGACAAATAAGCCAGAAATAATAAAAATCGTCAGTGAGGAATCATTTGAATTAGGATCAATAATAATTTACAAATTTACACAGTAAAAATTATAAAAATTCATAGCTGTTTGAAAAAACATTTGTACATTCATTGCCATCTTCGTCAAAATCAAAACCCTCAAAATCCAAGTCAGCGTCACTGTAGCTGTCGAACAAAATCCCTACAACTTCTTCCTGAAGTTCGTCGATATCGTCCCACACAATTTGGACTTAGCACCTTTAATCCACGGATTTCGCAGTCTGTCTGCTTGGCACTTTTCATTCATGTCTAATCACAATAAAGAGACAAGAAAAATGGGGTCGCTCTGCTGCGATGGCACACGATGATTTTGTTTACAGTCTAGCAATCATCTTGAGCCAAAATAACGTGATTTCAACCACTCTCCCCAGGTACGGGTTGCTACAATATTGCAACATTGGTTTCATTGTCGACGACGCTAAAGCTGTACAAGTGCGACACTTGCTTAGCGGCTCTCCTCATACGATTTGCTTGAATCATTTCTAAGGAAGCACAAACCAAATGGCCGGCCCTTTTTAGGGCCACGACATATTTAAAAAAGAGAACTACCGTTTCTGCTTTAATATATATTTTTATAGACTTGCTGACCGTTATGATTCTGAAAAAAAATCAGCGGTGAACGCGCTGCCCTGAAGGCAGAAAGCTGTCACAGCTACTAGTATTTCGCATTCACCCCTTGTTTTACGCAATTAACAATTATATTTAACGAATTTTTATAAGCATCACGACAGACTTCAAGAAAGTCAACTGTTAATACAACCATAGTCAACGAATTGAAAATAGTTTGTTTTTTTATTTTTTGTGTAGGAAAAGACCACCTGGGCGTGTGCCTGAATATGACCTCAACTTCTTTATTGTGTCAAAAATGGGGTTGGGTATTTGCCCACGCATGGGCTCTTACCCGGATAAGTACGATATATCCAGTTAACCATTGTACGTGAAGATTGTTCACTTTTCTTGAAGTTTCTCAATCATCAATCATAACAAACGATCACGAATTACTATTTATAGCATTCCCTACAAATTTTTTTCAATGGAGAGAAGTAGCCTGCGTGTAGCTTTATCTCGTCTGGGTTACAGTGAAGCGCGATCTACACAGAAGACAATAATTAATGATTTTACTGAAGGCCATGATGTTTTCGTTGCCCTACCGACCGGAAGCAGCAAATCGTTTGCATTTGAAGTAGCTCCTTTCTGTTTAGACAAAAAACAGTTTAATTTCTCTACCTTCTTGATCAGTGTAGTCTGTTTCGTATTGGCTTCATACTTGTGGCCGGTATCACAATTAACTCAACTTTAACTCAACGCACAGACACATAGATGCAGAGGTCAATCCATAAGTCCCGTTTTCAGACTGCGTCCGAACGGGGACTAACTAAAAGCAATAGATTAGTTGCAAATAAGACCAGTCTGTGGTGGTTTCGCTTTCACCCCAAATTTTGCAAAACTTTTTTTTATTATTATAATTTAACTGAAAAAAATCACCATAGCTGGGTCAGTCTACAGTCTGACAATATATAGCAATGTTCAAATAAAGGCAAAGACATGTTATAATACACAAAAATCATCATACAAAAAAAAAAACATTGTCTATTGCAATTGCAACAACAATAATTGGAGTTTGTCACCTACATAAAACACAAATTACTTTTCAGTTGTTGCTAAATTTGTATTAATTGCAAACCATTAACTGGTTGATATAAAATGCTATCATGAAGCAGTGCCACTTGTGGAGTTCGCAGGATATGGGGAAATTTTCTCTACATGCCTTGGTTCAGCTTTGAGGAATATAGCCAGTCCATAGCATGTGAAATTTGATTAAATTTACATTGGCTTATTATAAGATAAACCGGGCATTGCAGAAGAGTTCTCAGAGACCATGAAATCTGTACAGATTTCCCAAGACAAGTCTTATGACACATTTTGGTATATTTTGGTATTTCCCATAACAAGCTACATTCTAACTATACTGTAAACGTCAATACTCAGACCATTAGTTGTGTTTTTTTGCATGCCGATTTGCTACGTTGTGAATTGTGCGACGCCCATTACAATAGTTGCATGGCGTTCCCGGCCGGGACCGTCGCGCCATTACGGAAATTTTCGTTGCAAACGTTGAACAAAATATTTATTCGTAAATTCATGTGTCGTGTCGACGCTCGAGACGTTTAAGGATTAAACACCAATATGTGTTCAAACTAGTGCGCTTGTAAAGAATTTAACAAAATAACAGACGAAAACGTTTATTTGACACAATGATGACAGGAGAGGATGACCGTGACCCAGCTGAGCTATTCAATGGCGATACATCAAACAGGAAGTAGACTTCTTATGCTCACCTATCCAGCCAGAAAGTCCATGGCGAGTTCAATGGTATACCAGATTTCTCCTTGTCATTGATTTCTGTGATAGCATTTGGTGTTAGTTCCGCACGATCGTCTGCGTTCATTTCTGACGCAGGAAGTTTCTCCAATGTTGGTGCGGTGGCCGCCATTGTGTTGGCAGTCAGCAGCAACAACAGAGGAAAGTAAAGGTCACGTGATCAAAACATTGCGCGTCATCAGTGAGCCAGCTCACATCATTATACGCTTTTTATGATCATGTTCTTTTGCTAATTAACCTACATTTTGTTTTTATATGCCTTAGTTTACAATTACAAATAATAATAGTAACATAATGCAACATTTTGTATCATTGTGATATTGTCTGGCTCCATCTGTTTATCGTAAATAATTAATAGTAACAAAAATGTATTAGATTATAAACATTATTTTGTTGATGCTCAAAAATCCACGTATGATTTTGTTTATAGTACCTCCCTTATCTGTTATTTGTCAAGCCTTCCATGTATGCTAATCTGCCCTGCCATAATCAATGGTATGGCCCATAAGCAATGATGTCACCTTGTCACATGATCACTGCGTCACGTGAGCCATTTAGATGACGTGAAACCCTTTGCACGTATTGCAGACCCAAAAATTGGCGAGGGAAATGGCAGAATTTTGGCAGTTCGTTTTCCTGTTCTTGACTCTTTGTCTTCCAGTGGTCTCTGCATTTGATGCAGGAGACGCAATCGCTCTCATCGTGGGCCTTGTCATCGGAATTCTTGGTATATTTGCCTGTTTAGGTGTGTACGCAAGAAGGAAGTCGGGACAATAACTACATGCCTATGGCCGCCGCCATGATGGACATGGTCACTGAAATTTGTGTTTTTCAGTGAAGCAGACTTTTGACCACATTGAAAAACTCGTAACGACCACGGAGGAATTTTTGTATCTAGATTAATTGCATGAAATTAGTTGGAAATGAGAACAATTCGTGCTCTGCTTACTGTTCAGCGTGACTGGTGCAGCTATATGGGGGGAGGTGTTGTGTTCACATTTGGTGGTGGATCTGATCATGGAGGTAGAAAAGAGATGATCTGACTCAGTTGCGTGCTATAAGGTATAACCATTAGTGTACTTGAAGACTACAACCCATGATCTGTTACCTCCACTGGCCATCAGAATATATCTGACATTAGCTCGAATACTCTTGATCGAAATAACATCTTGTTGAACTCCTAATGATATAATCACCGTTTAAAAACGTACATGTATATACTGCATAGAAGAAAACAGCATCAGCCGCACGAGTTTATTACATTGAGAACTATGCTATGACGTTAACAGTTAACATCCGCTACATTTAGACATTGACAATCAGCAGATTTGGTGATTTATGGAAATTGTATTGAATTGTTTATAAAAATAATTTGAAGAAGATTGCTCAACTTGTTATTTAGTATCTAGTATTTATTTTATTACCTTGATTCTCTTTACCACTGCATAGTATTTTCTGTTGAGGGTGGCCGATTATTTGTGTAATACTGTAAATGCATTAAATATTCACTGGTTTTTAATTTTGTTAAGTAAAATTCGCTAAATTATATACATGTGTAATAAAAAAAATAACCCTGCCAAGTTCATGAGCATAATGAAATTGCTCAAAACATGAAAACAGTGAAATTAAATTCTAGTGAAATAAATGGTTTTACAGTATAGTGCAAATATCTAAGACAGACCTGTGATGCAACCCCCTAAACAACCAGCAAACATTTCCACAACTCTTTTGGATTAACACCTACCCTTTCCTCTAAACCTAACCCTGGTTTCATGCAAAAAATCTTTTCCTGACTTTCTGTTTGGCTGTATACAAGAGAATACAAAGTCAACCTGTCTTAAAATGTTAACTGTTTTCTGTAACAATCTAGTGCAGTGAAGATTAATTTGTCAGATCATATTCAAGTGAATATGCGCTAGTAATACTAGTACTAGAAGTAATATTCCAAACAACAGTTGATTGCCACATGTCTGTCTGTTTATACATGATAATCTCCAATGTTAACATAGCATAATCAGCAAAGGATTCTTTATAACATGTACCCAGTAAATCATGGTGATGGGTTTTGTAGAAAAATGGATAGTTTTAGGGTTAAAATTACATTTCTTCTTTCGAGTATACTTTTATACATTAATCTAGTCAGCCACATGTACTTTTACACTCAATTGAATCAGATCACATTAGGTTAATACAGACCCAGACAACAAATAGTATTTATTAATATTTATTAGTTGTCTGAGATACAGAAGAAACCTAAAAAGGATCATGTCTATTCAATCAGACACTGATTATGTGTTGTGTACACTGTTGTGTATAACTTAAATTCTGAATGCTCCAATCCTGAAAAACATGTAGGCCTTTAAAGCCATGCCATGCACTTAATTTGTTGTTCAAGATGTCTTTACCACATTGTCTGTTAGAGGCCTCCACAGAAATATTTAAATCAATGGGCAAAAAAGGAATCAGCAGGCAATGTGTTAATAGATACAAGACAAATAGACACTTGGTGTATCTTTTTTTGTTATGTTATTATTATTGTATTGACTGCACAGATTGTCTCAACGAAAACGATGTTGAGTCCTATAATAATTTAGGTGGATACAGAGAAACAAACCATCAATAGCCTGACCATCTGGTTAAAAATTACCCTGTTTTGTATCCTCTACACCCATGTGAACTGATGCTGTGCCTGTGAAGCCTACTAGCGACTCTGATGATACTAATTTTTTTTTTGCTACAGGAGAAATTTTTTTCATAGAGATGTAGTAATGCGCATTAGTTGTAATGTAACATGGTCTGTTATTGTTTTTATTTTTGAATTTGCAAGAAAAATATTGTAATGGTGTGAATTTTTGAATGAAATTATCGCAAGGAAAGCATATTTGAAGAATTTGATACAAATAAGGGAAATAAATTTTAGGTATAAATAATATGAAATACGAGTTGTGGATATAAGTATGCAGCACAATGAATAACACACTCTGAGGCCGTCGTAAATATAGCCCAAGTTGATTTGTACTTTGATATACAGAATAGAGCTATTTTCATTCAAAGCTAAAATGATTGCTATTAAGAAAATTCACAAGATACAAACCATGAGTTGTTACTTAAAGCGGGGGAGTTGTCACCTGCGCATGCGTCAGATGGCCATAGCGTGTCACTGTTTACAAACAAGCATCTACCCTTGAGCCTTTGCGTTTTTAGCACGTGTTATCGTCGCTTGGGACTCAATTCCCGCGTGTGCGCAGGTGACAACCCTTTCGCTTTAATTATAATGCAATGAAAATGTTGAAATTGAAAATTCAGCAATTTGATTAGATTACTTGAACAATGACTGATTAATGGCATAAATTAAAAAATGGTCAGTTTTGTGCATTGTTCGAACCTTATCACCCACAGTGATGAAATGTACCACTTAAAGCGGGAGGGTCATCACCTGCGCACGTGCGGGAATCGAGTTCCAAGCGATAACACATGCTAAGAACGCAAAGACTCATGGGTAGACGCTTGTTTGTAAATTATGTCACGCTATGGCCACCTGGCGCATGGGCAGTTAACGACTGCCCGCTTTAAAGCGTGGTAGTCATCGCGCTGTGCTTGTTTGACATTTGTGTTGATAAACATTGATTTTCCCGCAATCCAATGCGCTCTTAAAATGTGTCAGTTCATACTTGTTGATCTGCGCAACAGTCAAAGTCACCATCTTTGTTTATATGAGACCCATATATGGACAACTACTGCGCTTTAAGTGATCAAGTTTTTGCATCTCGTACAATGTTCAGACTCGAATTTCCAGTTTTCACTGAATATTAAGTAATAAACAAAGTGACCTTAGATATAATAAATAAATAAAATACAAATATAACTAAATAAAAGGGGATATGTTTGATTGTATAGTATAGTATAACTGAAAAAAAAAACTTTCATTCATATGAAACTTGCCCAGGTCACATGTATGACTGAACTCTAATGCAGTTTGGGGGGGGGGGGGGGGGGCACTTATCTGTCCGATGACCCAAACCGTTCATATGCCGTAGTATGGCAACTACTATGTAATTCGACCGATTCAAACAATGCACAATATAACCGTTGTTCAGTACGTGTCGAAATAGGTGATACTTAAGCTGTGGCAAAAGAAGCATCATTTAGCTCTGACCATGGAGGTACTTTTCTACCTCCATGCTCTGACAGAAGAGAGACCGTAATTGGGCACACTCCACTTACGTTTCTATCTACCCTTAACGTCCAAATAATTTTGCATGAAATAGAAATAATGTTGAGGGTTTATGTAATAAAAAAACATGGATCCCTCAGTCACGCTTATTAACCGTGCCTCAGTTAAGAATGTTTCAGATTGCCGACTTCAGACTTGATAAAAAAAAATGTGTAGACTTCCGCCCTAATCGGGTTTGTTGTTTTGTGTTTCAATAATTATATTTACAGGTTTAACAGAGTTTATTATTATTATTTTTTTATGAAATACGATTTAGCACAATTTTAGTAACGCATAGGGAAACCTTACCGAGTGGCATCGCACATGGATTTCTCTTGCGTAAATACAATACGGTCCCGAGGCGATGAATACGCGCTATGCATGAAATTATAAACCACCAATAGCTTTACAATAGTGTCGTGTACCTGAGAATTATATATGGAGGTGAACGTGTGTTACACAATATTTTTGGCGTAAAATGAAATTGGCAAAGCAAAAAATATCAGCCATACCAAAACAGGCAGCTAGTAAGGCCAGACTTTTTTATTCCTTGTTTCTCGAGTTTTTATAAGGCAATTTTTTTGAGGAGGGCAGGAAAAAATTGTGTGATTCTCAAAGAATTGTAAGTGAGATCATTGATTGGAGAGACGAAATGAAATAAAATTGTATTTCATGTATAACCATAGACCCTCTGTTAGAGGGTCTATGGTATAACCTTGTTTCTCATCTGCGCGAGACTTCGGTATTTTGATCATGATACTCCCACGAAAATGCAACTTGGATTTGTTATGCGGCGGGTGGTAAAAAATGAAGATAAAAATAATATTTTTTTAGCATTTTTTTGCGCTTACAAGTCGGCGGGCGCGAGAAATTACGCTGAAATAAAATTTTATTTTTATTTCAATTTCGGCTCCTGTTCATTCGGCGGGTTCGCGAAACAAGGGATAATAAAAGCCTGGCCTAACTCTAGTTTCACAATAAATTTAAATTCCAAGAGGAGACAGTGTGACAATCCGTCAACCAAGGCATATAACATAGTGACCGCTGGCGGAGACAGAAAATGCGGGCAAGGACTGGCGACGAAACACCCCTCCCCTGACCCATGTCCACCTATAATACGTAACCCATGGATTGTAATTTTTAGAAACTGTCGCTTTACCAACCTGTTATGTTATTTCGCGCATCTTGAAGTTATTACAAATATGTTGTTTCTCGATTCTCGAACGAATGACCATTGAATGTCATTCACTATTCATTACTGTAACACAAGTATTACTATTGATTTTTTTTTTTTTGCACTGGCGTTCATGTTTATAAGTCATTAGAATTCTTAATTGTAATCCCATCCTGAAATGTATGTTTGGTGTGGCTTATAGCACAATATCGCGAGGAACATGGAAATAGTGCCTCCATTTGTCGGGAATAGACAGACACAATGTCTGTTACCACGTTACGTAACTTGCAAGGTTATTTAGATGTGATTGTTGTGGTTGTTCGATTTCCATCAGTTGTTCGGCTTTCTTCAGCAGTTTGGTAACTTGTGTTCGATGACAGCCTCGTTTTTTGGTAGCATCTTGTACCGCTTCTCTGTTAACGGTTTGCACGGCTTCGTTATCAGGCATGATGAGTGGTTAAGTAGTTCACAGGGACTGTGAGTAGTTATAGGTTTTAGTGCTATAACGTTTACAGTTGCAGATCCTGGTCTCGGCACCAGAAATGTGGGTGATAGTAGAGAAGTCAGTCAAGACGATATTTACGCTTCTGAGGCTAGTGAACAACTAACTTTATTTCAGATACTACACACTTAAATACAATAAAAACAGATGTCAAAGTCATTACTGTAAACTTGAAAGGGTGCCGCTAATGGACACTAAAACAGTAGTTGGTCCAACCCGTAGTTGGTCCGGAAAGCAATCAAGCAATGTAAATAACCTTGCATGTTACGTAACGTGGTAACAGACATTGTGTCTGTCTATTCCCGACATTCTCCGGGCGGCCAAAGTGATCGCAGATTTGAAGTTTAACATGTAGTAAAATCAAAGTAGAAAATTCTATAATCTTTGTCGACGACGGATATGTCGAAAACACATGGAATAGGTTAATCGAAATAAAGAACGTAATAAAAATGAAATACAATAGAATAAACGAAAAAATATTATAAAATAATCATAAACGATAATATATAATAAGCTATATCCATCAAGATTGTCTAGAACTGTCTCGTATAATTGCATTACAGTTCAACAAATGTATAAAGAGTCACAGGACTTAATCATTACTGTTATTATCAAAAGTGTCCCGTATTTTTAATTCCGCGATAGCAGCAGCGGTTCTCTTAGGACGTTGCGATGTTACAGGCATGTGGTCAATATTTTTGGAGGCGGTTTTGCAGTCCGAATTGTCTGTCACACTTAGTTCTAGTGGGTACAACTTACCCGGTATCAAGGCAATCGTTGAGACTTTGCTGATCGCGGTATTTGGCACTGCAGTTGTATACGACTCTTATCGGTGTTGTTATCGAATCCTTTTTAACGGGGTGATGTGGAATATAATGACCACGAGTTGTGTCATCATCAGTGACTTTCTCGATAAAGTCCCGCTTTAGCTGATCGTTTATGATGGAATTGTATATATCTCGCATTTCGTCTGATAGATGTTGTACCATTGACCTGGTTCTTTTTTTGGCTAGCGAGTAGTTAGTTGGAAGGGGAGGGTGATTTTCCTTCCACGGCAATCCAGCGATATACTTGTTTCCTTTGCGTTCGATTTTGGTATCACGGTATAGTTCAAAGGAACGTTCGTCAGTGTTCTCATTTTCGCCCGCGGCCGATATCCCGATGGACTCTAAATCCCAGTATTTTGTGACGAGCTGTTCTTCTGATGAGGTATTTGTCAGGATTTTCATGACCGTCGCGTTTAATACGGAAATACTGTCCAGTTTCGACGGTCCAGATAGCAGATATCCTAACTTCGACTTGACTGCAGTGGGTCCATGACCTCTCACGACATGGTCTTGTACAATAGACCAATAGTAGTCAGCCCCTATAAGTAAGTCGATCTCCATTGTGTCTGATTGTACATGTGGTGCAAGTTTTAATCCCTGTAGATATCCATGCTTACGTACGGCTGGTTCAACGTAGTTACATATAGGCGAGCTTATGTTTGGTACAATTAGGGATCGTAGTGTAATCTCACCACAGTTTAACTGGAGTGATATATCAACTGTTTTAATCGTACGCACTCCTGTGTTTTCTTTCCCAAATGCACCTAGGCTCAAGTGTTCGACGTCACAATCATCACTATTCACACGTAGACGGGTGGCAGTAGATTCGGTAATAAATGTTCGCTGAGCTCCGGAAGGCAATCAAGCAATGTAAATAACCTTGCATGTTACGTAACGTGGTAACAGACATTGTGTCTGTCTATTCCCGACACCATTCCCGTAGTCCGTATCTCGTAATTTTTATTATCCTGAATTTGGAAAGTAAATAAGACTCGTGTATATTTCTAGAATCCTGAAAAACAGGAACCATTTCAGTGGCACGGTCCCAAGAGGTAGTGTGCCCGTCCCCATCCTGATGATTCCGTATGCGCCATCTGCGTACGACTTTCGTGCGAACTAAACCGTATCCATAAAGTAAGCAAATAACACCGAATAAACGGCAAGGTAAAGATTATGTCTAATTATAGTAAACACATACTGCGTGCGTGACTCGAACCGGCGCTTGCGTACGGCACCTAATCGCCTAGCTTCACGCCACTACACGTCTTCTCCTCGGCCACCGGGCATGAAACCCGTCCACGCGATCCGCGCCACACAGCGTGGCCATAAAGGTCTATTATAGGTCTATAACTAAATTCGGGACAACGACGTTCGACCCACGCGTAAATACACTGTGACGCTGGACTCATAACATTTATGCCTAAATAAATGATTATTTGACCATGGCCAAACAAGAATTATTTTTAACAAGAATTATTTTCTACTAGCATACACGCATACAGTCATAATAATAGACCATTTTCCGTTCACTGCGAGAATCACGCGTTATGCGTGAAATCGAGCGTAAAAACAAGACAAACAAAGGTCATAGCGTCGTAGTCGCGTCAAACATCGCGTGGGATTCGACAAACGCGAAAGTATTTTGGGGGACATTTCCATGCTTAATAATGTGCTGTCCACATTTGATGATAGGCAATTTCGATTAAGTGAGGGTATTCGGAAGCAATATTCCTCTGTCGAAGATCGGCCGGTCGATGTGAGCTACGAAATAAAGAAATTCGAGTTGAAAATCAAATCGTTCGACGCGCGTCTTTCATGCATCTCGCGAGATCTCCCAATTGTACGGAAAATCACCTATTTAACCAGATATTGGGTTGTCGGAACATTGGGTTGTCGGACAGATGATCCTTCTTCAGATATTATCGTAACAAATGTCCACACCATTGTGTATTTCCTTATTGTACCAAATTATAACAAAAACAGTGAAAGTGTGTCTGCTCGAGAAATGCTTAGATGCGTGGATAGAATTATCGTGAAAATAGATGACATGTATTTGTAACTGACCATGTGTTACTGTGACCACAAGAAATAATGGAACGGCAATATTACAGTGAGTAAAACCATGTAGAAATGAAAACAGGCGCACTGATTGATGACTACATTGAAACAAATGGGCATATGAATTACATTATGTATTGTCTTTGTACCCACTTTGAGCAAATTCGGTCAAAGTACTCCAGAGAAATTGCCAAAGACACGTGAAAATAGAATTATAAATCCCTGTTTCAGACTTCGTTCTATGAAGACTAAAAACTTATTTAGGTGCTCATAAAATAAAGTGTTATACTCCATCTACTCGACTTGTACTAATGATCATTTTCTCATACCCCCACTACACTCTCAAAATCCTCTGAAGTTCCCGCACCCTTAACATATCATCACGATCACACGCCCGTTCTGAGTTGCGCGTTGCCATTCACTGTTACTGAAATGAGAGTATTCATCGCTAAATTGTAAAGCACATGGTGGAACAATTAGCACAATAACATTTTGAAAACTTGGAACACAGATATTTTACTAGTACCAGCACCAATTGACATATGAAATTGTATAGAAATTATCAATTTACGAAAAAAGATGCCACGAAACAGTTTGCGAATATCTACACCACCATAACTGAATACTAGTATGTTTGTTAGGATTTTTTAAGGTTGAAGAACACTTCAGAGTCAGCGACAACAAAAGGAACAAGTTATAATGTATAACTTCAACACCGATTTTTGCAAATTATGTTGTCATTTCAGGCAATTATGATACTATATGTGACATTTGACCTTGGTGCAAAAATATGTGCTGAGATTCGGTAAGTTCAATTTACAATGTATGAGACAGGCAACGCATGGACGCACGATTGCCCTGGCGAGATGTGAGAATGTGGCTCAGTTTCCCATTTACATTTGTTGAGTTTTAAAGAATTTCCTTTCACTATTAAACATTATAAACACAATGAGTTAAACAAATTGTGTTTTGTTTAGATATAGTGTGGTAAGTTTGTACGTGATTTTCAGTATGCAGACAGTATGCCCGGATGTAGTGTGTTTACGTATACTGGTACAAGTTACAGCTGTGGCCGTTGTTAACACCACTCAATACATTCATAAACTGCATATGGTAACACAATTGGGTTTATTTACCTCTCACATTAGTATATGTCTGTTATTTGAAGGCTATGTGTTTGAATGTTGTCAACACATCGTCAAAGTCACAGATGGCATTCATACGATATTTAGATTGAAGGGTTAATTGAAATTCCGCCCTCTATGCCTGAATGCGGTAGAGGAGCTAATGTGACAATAAAACACACGGAGACTGCGCACAGCGTTCGCCCCTCATACGCTCATTACAAGGTGATGCAGTGGTGTGCATCAGGGATGTGTTTTTTCGTCAGCTGTGAGGGGGAACGACGACGATCAAGATGAACAATTACATCAACGGTACGTCTGTTTTTTTGTTTTATTATTTTGATGAAATGTAATCGGTGACTGTCTATTTCAAAATATTTTACTTTCAATCTAGATTAGACGGCAACCAGGACAGACAATAAATAATGCATGCATATTGATATTCACAAATTCGATAAAGCTAGCCTTTGTGATCGAAGTTGAAAATATTTATTAGCCTTGCTAGAATAAAACAGTACCGAATAACATGTGCTTCTACCGTTTATTTCTGAGTATGTACATTTCAGTCGAACAAAAGAATTGGGCACAGGAAGGTATATTATAATTAGATTCTAGAAAGGCACGTACAGCCTGTTTTTTTTTAATAGGTTGATGGAAATTTGCACCCAGCTGGTTATTATGTTTAGTAAACACGCTTCCCAATTTACATTAAAATTGTCACTCCAGATTGCCCATTGTCTATTATTCGGGTGAGTAAATAAACCTAACGTGCTGCACAGAACGGGTTTTGCTTGTCATCGCTTGCTGCATGCATAGTGCCAGTATAATGCCGTAATCATGTTTTACATCGGTGAAACGAAACGAACGTCATATCGTCATTTTGGGCCTGCAAATGGATTTACGAAACACAGCAGACAGTTGATATCGCCTCGGTAACGTCGAATTTCAATACCAAACACACCCGGATACCCATCAACATTAATGATGTTAATGTTTTATTTCGCTTCTCAACAACAAATATAATATTTTTTAATTCATGCCAGTAATCATGTCACCATCACGAGAATACACGCTAAAGCCACGGAGTTGACCCGAATAAACGAAAACAAATATATACCTCATTATTTTTGTTCATGCAACAATGAACTTTGTTTAAAATATGCAATAGAATATGTAAATGAGACAGGGTTAATAGACACAATTTATTATTGATATGACATTTATTTTGATCGCCGGGAACTAAGAATGGAGAGAAACATTGACAAATATGGTGCTAACTGATAACGACGGTGTTCCAAATCACAACCCTTCCAATATCACACACATCCTGTAAACTGACTTCCTGCAATTCTTAACATTAATTGTTTCAGGCTGTTCTGTCTGTGGGGCCTGTATGTAATTATTTAATTATGTATTTATTTTATTTTCTACTGTTTAGATTACGATGCGAGCAGTCACGCTGGGATAAACGAGACACACAATGAAACGCGTTCGCTACTTTCGTGCACAATGAAGTAGAAGAAAGAGGGCCAGATCGCAACGCAATTACTGTACGACAAAGAGCTGAATATCTTCAAAATGGTGGTGTCGAATACGACAACAACAACACAGAACTGTGATAATTCTTCTTCGTCAGTGACGGCCATAATGGCGGTTGTAGCTGGGTTAGACAACAGACACGGCAGCGATGAGACAATGGGCTATGATAAACCACAGACTGAACTAGCGGTGTTTAAAACCTTCACGCTTATAGTCATAATAGCTGTGTCGGTGTGCGGTAATGGGATCATGTGCTTCATTGTTGTTAGGGACAAAAGCTTGCATCGCCCGCCATTTTACTTTCTTCTTAATATTGCATTGGCTGATATGTTGAGAGCACTACACTGCCTATCTTTCACTGCATCAGCCGTGTCACACCATGGCTGGATCTACGGTAAAGCAGTCTGCCAAGTAATAGCTTTCTTCAATGTGCTACTCACGTTTGGGAGCGTGTTCACGCTGTTCGTGCTCGCAATCAGTCGATATGCTGTTTTCAGGTATCACAAATTTCACCGGCTCAAAATGTCATTTTTAGCGTGTTTACTTGTAATTCTAGTAGCGTGGGCATTAGCAATCGTGATGGCATTTCCCCCAGTGTTTGGATTGGGAAGTTACACGTATATACCGCGGGAATACCAGTGTAATTACGACCATCGTTTTTATAAGTCTAACGACACTTTGGGTTTTATTTTAGTTTTGGTTATATCCATTATTTTGACGCATTTAATGTATCTCAAATCATTGATATTTTTGCGACACCATCGCAAGATGACTCCGATTAATTTTGTCCCCGCCAGTTCTAACAACTGGACGTTTTATGGACCCGGCGCAACGGGACGTGCTGCTGCCAACTGGGTAACTGGTTTTGCTGGACTGGGTCCCCCTCCTCCAACTTTGGTCGGATTCTCGCAGTACGCCAGGCGTTCTCATCTCCACGCGCATTTCAAAAGGGAGTCGGAGACCACACGAACTACATACATAATTACCCTGGCCTTCCTTGTATTGTGGCTACCCTACATCATTTACAACTACATCATCATCTTTGTCCGGGACTACAATTTTTCGGAACAATTTGTTGCCATGGCAACCTGGATGACATATCTCCAGGTGTGCGTCAACCCGATCATCTGCTTCTGTTGTAACAGGAACCTACGCAAGTCGCTGATGACCGTTGCTAATTGCATCAAAGGTCGGAACACGTGGATGAACAACGAACGACAACAAGCATACCAATACACAGGCGAGAGGTGATAACGTTACTCGCCGCGTGTTTCTCGTAAGGGAAGCGACACTATTACAGTTATATAGTATACTCAACGCAGGTGGACTAAATCTGTTTCCTCGTTCATATCTGGCTGAACATTTAATGTAATTTGTGGATAGTTAATAGTGTTCTATACACTTCTTACGCGTCGTTAATGTAAATGGTCAGTGTCCATTTTTGTAGAATTATCATGCAGGGATACCGCTGCTCGTTTCTGCGTAAAGCATTAAACAGAAGCCGTCGCATGGACGTAACATTTCACAACACGTTTAAATTGCACGTACCATCCAGCCACTCAGTTGGAAGTTCCTGTAAATACAGATACATTTCATATTGTGATACCTCATTAGCGTAATGATTTAGAATGCGTTGACGGCTGTGAACCGTACAATAGTGTATACCTGATACACTGACTATCATTTTGTTCTTGTTGAAATTTGAGATAACAACCTTACGCGATTAAATCTCACAGCAAAATAGTGGCATGGACATATTTTATAAGGTCAATTATCACACAATGCGACGACCAAATATAACGGGCGTGGGTACTTCCATGAACAAAGTATTCTGAGATTATAATCTTTCGACGATTATATCATGGAGCTAAAAAACGAGCCCCATGATTTAATTAACTTGACTTTCCCTCTTTGATATCATGCTTCACAGGGGGTCTTTTTTTAATTGGCGCCATGGTATACACTTAATTGGCTAGCATAAGTAGACTTAAAGTCCATGAGAAACTGTCTCCTCTAAAATGTCACAAACGTGCATTATTCTATTTCTGTAATCCCGGACACAACTATTTATGTCTTATCTACGCCACCACAACACAGTTTGTACAACTGCAGTGACGTCATGGCGGAATTGTCACTTTTAGTGTTCTTAACGCTCATGTTGTTCTGGGGTAAAATTGATACTGTGAATATGCAGATTAGTTGCGATATATGTTTAAAAAAATATATATTTACAAAATGTTTGCTTTATTTAACATCCCACATAAGGTGCCATAACTGAAATAATTAAATTAGAGAAATTACCTTTGGGAAAATAAAGAAATTTTAAAATTAACACTGCCTCTGAATTTGGGAATGAAATCTATTCTAGCTTATCTCATGTTCTTTAATTTAATCTCAGGTGACCCTCTTGTGCGTTTTATAAAATGTGTAAGTTCAGCGAATCGGAATTAATGCCCTGCAACTGTGAAACGCAGACGGTGATATATATCCGGGTACAATCGGTACTTTGTTCTCCGCACAGACTGTTTTTAAGGCTGTGGCCTCTCTTTGTGGTGATGGTGGACGACCTCAGAGTCCAGACTGTTCTAATGACAGACTGAATTTTAATGATTACTCATTCTGCTGAAGGCGCAGTATCATTGATACGACTTGTCAGGTTATTCAGTAACCGACGCAGTACAGCTACTCTACAAATCAAAATCCTTCGATATAAAGTGACTGCCATCGTAATTAATCAGTCCACAAGTCTTTCAATAATACGACATAAGATGTATAGAACAGTCATCGCTTAGGGTATATATTTGAAATGCCGGTCGAATTTTAAAAATAATATCATACCAGTGATGAATAATATCAGTTTTGTAACTTTTTGACTCGCACCGGAACCTTGCATTGTACTCGCGTGGACATGATTTACCATGTATCCAATCTACTCATACTAATTGGGTCACATGTCATTCACCGGTTGTACTAATCAGTTCATGGTGACCCAATCGTCCACTCTCTTCCAGGATGTTTAGTATTTCGGTTCCCCTAAGGACTTATTATAGTGTAAGCTTCTTGTATTCGTCTTGCACTGAAATACGTATGACGCAACTGAAATGAGTCACAGTGTTCCCTAGCTTCTTCTTCTTTAAGAACTGTTTTTTTTAATCTGTATCTGCCTATTAATTTATTCAAGAGAGTTCAATATTACATGTTGCTGAAAACGCTCATTTATATTTATTTTATTGATCATGTTTTGATGCTTGTACGGTCACTGTCGTTATCAGTGTTTTACCCAAAAATCAAATAAATTGATATTATACTGTAAAATAAACTATTTGTATGCTGTTTTTTATTACATCCCGTTTTCCACACGATGTTTATGATAAATTACATGGCGACGTGAGCGTCGAGTGCATTGTATAAACTTTGTATGGGTATATCTGGAATCAACCCTCGTGTGCATGCAAATCGCCGGTTGATTACTCAACACACAGGCACTCATCAGCGCTTGATTATTCGACAATGGGCGTGTGTGGATTACAAAGAAATCACACTTGACTGCAACCAGTTTCATTAAATGGGAATAAGCACATATTCCACGCCGTCAAAATCTGCTTGCACAGGCGTAACGGTCGCAGACTGGTTTCAAATTGACTATAGGTACCACCCGGGAGGACATTATTCAGACATCGTGCGGGGAAAAGACAAATTTCGGTTACAGCAAGTTTCAGATAGGTTTGAAAATTATGTTTTGTTTTTCATTTTACCAAAATCTGTATCATATAATACGATAAATCAAAGTAATTTTTTTGAGATATTATTTTTAGTTCAAACTTTTCGCGTTTTTAATTTTTTATGAATTACCTAAAATGTCATTTATTTACACTAAACCCAATATATCAAAATAAAAAGCCGAGGTTTAAAATTTGATAATTTGTTATTGAAATATGCCTACTATCATAAGCAAACATCATAATCGCATAATATGTACCTGGGTGCAAAGAATGGCCAATACTGTTAGCCAAATAGTGTATGAACTTATACAAGTAAATTGTAAAGTTTGAATGGCTGACGACTTAACACACAAAAAAAGTACAATTTCCATTTCAGTAATTTTGTCAAAAAATCGCGAAAAGTTGGAATTAAATTAATAATATATCAAATATTACTTTGATTTATGATCTTATTTCAGATTTGAATTGTTGAAAAAAAGAAACGTTATTTTGGTGGGAAAATGACGCAGTTGACACAGAATTTTTTCAAACACACTCGAAACTGCGGCGATTACTAAATTGTTCTTTATTAAATGACGGTATGTAACAACTTGATCTTGTCGTGAAGTGCAAATTACTAAACCGAAATTACCAAAGCACCCGGATGTCAATTCCCGCACCATAAAAAGGTATAAAATAGCCAGGATTGCACTATAGACATACAAAAGCCAGGATTGCACCATTGACATAAAATAGCCAGGATCGCATCAGTGACATAAAATAACCAGGATTGAACATAAAATAGCCAGGATTGCATCATTGACATAAAATAGCCATGATCGCACATTGACATAAAATAGCTAGGATCGCATATTGACATAAAATAGCCAGGATCGCATATTGGAATAAAATAGCCAGGATCGCATATTGACTTAAAATAGCCAGGATCGCATATTGACATAAAATAGCCAGGATCGCATATTGACATAAAATAGTCAGGATCGCATATTGACATAAAATAGCCAGGATCGCATATTGACATAAAATAGCCAGGATTGCATATTGGCATAAA